GTCATAAAACACACACACTCCACACATATATACACACACACACGCACACACACACACACACGCGCACACACACACACACACACACACACACACACACACACACACGCACACACACACACACACACACACACGCACACACACACACACACACACGCACACGCACACGCACACGCACACACACACACACACACACACACACACACTCACACACACACACACACACACACACACACACACACGCACACACACACACACACACACACACACATTTATACAGATGTATTCTGATCTGTTAAGCAGAAGCCGGTGGTTCTACAGAAATGGTTTCAGTCAAGTGTGTCCAAACGCAAACACTGAAGACAAACAAAGACTATATTTGCTCATCATTCTTTCCTCATCAACATGTTTCTGCTGCTCTCACATACACTAGAGGACGTTTCTGAACACCGACGGCTGACTAAAGGTCACTCAGGGGTCATGATCATGCTGTGAGAGTGACTCTGGACCGGATGTGAAGAGTGTTCTCAAAGCAGAGCAGATGTGATACACGAGAAAATACTTTGGGAATACTGTCCTCTTTAATGTATAATTGATCACACACACACACACACACACACACAGCTGTGAGTACACACAGAGTTCTCCAGGGGTCACATCGCATCGATCGTGTTCAACTCAATTGTCCGATCGGATAAATGGTCTTCAACACTTTAACTATAGTCTAACCTATGGGGGATTCTGCCCTCCAACAACTGTCTTTACTGTGTAACAGATATTATAGTGAACACAATGATTTACAGTCAGGACAATCAAGAATGATGTTCATATATCACTGCACATACAGTGCTCAGAACATTAGAGTAACCTACACCCCTTACAAATTACTCATTTAAATTAATATTTTCAAAATAGGATGCTTTAAGATATATACTCCCCGGCCACTTTATTAGGTACACCTTACTAGTACAGGGTTGGACCCCTCTTTGCCTTCAGAACTGCCTTAATTCTTCATGTCACAGATTCAACAAACTACTGGAAATATTCCTCAGAGATTTTGCTCCATATTGTCATGATAGCATCACACAGTTGCTGCAGATTTGTCGGCTGCACATCCATGATGCCAATCTCCCGTTCCACCACATCCCAAAGCTGCTCTATTGGATTGAGCTCTGGTGACTGTGGAGGCCATTTGAGTACAGTGAACTCATCGTCATGTTCACCAGTCTGAGATGGTTGAGCTTTATGACATGCTGCGTTATCCTGCTGGAAGTAGCCATCAGAAGATGGAGACACTGTGCTCATAAAGGGATGGACATGGTCAGCAGCAATACTCAGGTAGGCTGTGGCGTTGATGCTCAATTGGTACTAATGGACCCAAAGAAAATCTCCCCCACACCATTACACCACCACCACCAGCCTGAACCGCTGATACAAGGCATTCTCTGTAAACCCTAGAGATGGTTGTGCTTGAAAATCCCAGTAGATCAGCAGTTTCTGAAATACTCAGAGCAGCCCATCTGGCAGCAACAAACATGACACGTTCAAAGTCTCTTAAATCCCCTTTCTTCCCCATTCTGATGCTCGCTCTGAACTGCAGCAGGTCATCTTGACCATGTCTACATGCCTAAATGCATTGAGCTGCTGCCCTGTGATTGGCTGATTAGACATTTGTGTTAATGAGCAGCTGGACAGGTGTACCTAATAAAGTGGCCGGTGAGTGTATATTTGTGCATACACATTAGTTTAGTCAGTACTGAATATGGAGCTAATCTAGCAAAATAGCTTACAATAAGGGTCCAAAATTAGTCCACAAATTTATATGAACAATAATAAATAAGTATCTTTTAATGAAGAGCTTTCCCAGAGATGGGTTGCAGCTGGAAGAGCATCCGCTGTGTAAAACATATGCTGGATAAGTTCATTCCGCTGTGGCGACCCTAGATAAATAATGGGACTAAGCCGAAAAGAAAATGAATGAATGAATGAAAATGTAGAGCAAGAATCAAGAGAAACAAAATAAATCAGTTAGTAGAAATTTGTTATTAAACCTATTTTGTTGTAAAATGTTGAAAAACTGTTGAAGACCCTTGGGAAATAATAAAAATATTTATTTTCAGAGTAAGATAATATTTGGTCTTCAACCCTTCAGCACTCTCTTGCGGACCCCGGTTTGAAAAGCCCTGCTGTAAAGTTAAATCAGTGACTCACACACACACACACACGCACACAGAGATTGTGTCCAGCAGTGGTCTTATTTTTGGGCATTATCCGTCTGTAATTCCCGGTCTATATAGTCTATCACCCGCTCCTCAATCATCCATCCGGTCCTCTGCTCGGTTACCGCGCAGCAGCTCCGAGAATCACCCGCTGTGGAGCTTAAAAACCGGTCAAACGCGACTCTCCGACCGCGCGAAGAACCAGAGAACCGGCGCGCGCGTCTGAACTCCACGGGAAACAGAGAGAACTGAGCGGAGCAGCTGGAGAGAGGGAGAGGGAGTGGGAGAGAGAGGATGAGTGAGAGGACTGTCAGGAATATTATTTTATATTTTTTAGCCGATTGAAATATACAAACCTTTTGTTGTCTGTCATTATCTTTTTAATAGTCATACAATAGTCTTTTTATGCATATTATGATTTCATCATATTTATAAATATATAAATAAATAAATAAGTATCCCTACTGTTTTATTTATTGTGTATATAATGCGCATTATACTTGACATGTCATGCCAATAAAGATCATTTGAATTGGATTGAAAGAGAGAGAGAGCGAGTGCGTGTGTGAGTGTGCGTGCGTGCGTGCGCGCGCTCCGGTGACGTCACGCTCCTCGGCGGCGGTCCTAAAGTCGGTAACGGCGGACAGACTCAGTTTAACTCGTGTAAAGCCGCGGACGGGGGTGATCGGCTCCGGCGCTCGCTGCTCACACCAACGGGAATATTTGGCGTTTGGCGCGGAGCTCGAGAGGAGCGCGCGGCCGTTATCCGCACTCCGCGATGGATCGGAGACTTTTAACGGCTTTTCTCCTCTTCGCCGATGTTTTCTGGATCTCCACCGGAGAATTCCACGGTAAGAGACATTCGGGGTTTTCTGAGGAGAAACTTCCTGTCGGCCAGAGCTTCTCCTCAGCCTCTTTAACAGCTGAAATTAACTTTACAAAGTTTCCGTAGATCAGTTTGACTGTGTTTGGTGTCGGATGGAGTGTGTGTGTGTGTATGTGTGTGTGATTCTCCGACGCCACAGCCCAAACTTTCCTTCACCGTGAGTTTCATCTTCTCTCTGCTGGAGAAAACGGGCTCGCATTCCAATTCACACAATCATACAGTGTTTAATAAATAACCCGTGTGTGTGTGTGTGTGTGTGTGTGTGAGTGAGTGTGTGTGTGGTGAACTTTTGGTTTTCCAGTTGTTTCTAAACACTCTAAAACGCGCAGTTCTAACGTTTTTAAAGGTTTAACGTTACATTTTAACGGCTTTTTTCAAATAAATTTAAATTCACTTTAAACCCAACGGTTGATTCTGTCCGTTTTGACGCATCTTTGGGTTACTATAGTCCAGATTATTTTAGGAGCGTAACACAAAGTCCTGTTTTGATGTCGACATGGTTTTGAAGTGGGTTTTGGATCCGTTCATTATGGTATTCGCGCCATATATAAAGGCTGATGTATGACAGTAACCCTTAGTTTAAAAACAGGCTGGGTTGTTTTAACATAACGTTGGGTCAAATATGTACAAAACTAACATTGGGTTAATTTTTAAATGCATTTTAAATTTAAATTACACTTTTATAAGCCAACAGTTAGTTTAGTCCACATTTGAACAAACATTTGATTAAATAACCGAGCATTTTTAGTGTGCATTATATCTTTCAGCTTTCTAGACATTCTGTTTCATTATCAGAGCCGTTATTTGAGTCTGTTTTCCGTCATTCAGCGCTGTTTAAGATAACACTGACTCCCCTTTGTGCTATTTATATCCTCACTTGTGCTATAATCTTATTTTTAATGCAAAACAGTCAAACGGAGCCGACATGTCTGCTCTACAACCGCCTTTTGTTGACCTGCAGATGTTTCATTGTGTGTCTCTATAAAGTTTTAGTGTTGATGTTGAATCTGAATGCACTTTTTCCCAGCCGTGAGCACATCTGTGTGCTTTAATTAAAGCGTTTGATTTGCTCTCGCACTAATTGCTTCAGTTCGGATCTCAGCTGTGCATTTCTCCCTGCACTTTAATTTGCTTTTATGAATGGTTTTAGTGTTGAGACATGTCTTGAAAAGGCTGTCATAAACTAAATCACGTGCTTGTGATTTGCGCACTTTACTATTGTAGATGTAAATAAACGAGGCTGCTGGCTGAATTGTGTATTTAAATAAATTTTTTAGTAAATGGTGTATTTTAATGCATGTTGAGTTTCTGTGTTGCGGCTTTGATCTCCGTGAGTTGGATGATTTCTGCAGATGTTTCTTATGTGTGTTTTGTGTCCTGATGGGGGCAGCAGTGCTCACACATGATGAGGGATTAGTTCCAGATCCCCGCTATCATACAAATCCCACAGAAATCCTATATATCAGATGCCCGTGTGACACATAATAAGTAGTTTTACTGGCTTCAGCTTAAATATCTGGGGATTTTATTTATGGAAGTCTCATTTATGGAAATAGAGATGTGCAATTGGCTGAACACATGAATAAAATACTATAGTAATATATTTTTTGTAGTAAATACTAAATAT